AGCCTCCTCGTGAGGATTCGTCCTACCTGGCCCTCGTAGATCCGGCCTTCCCTCATCTCCGAAGACCGGGAGTGAGGGAATGTGAATTTCCACGGTCTCACATATTTATTCTCGCCTGTGCCTCACTGTACGTCCTGTTGCCTAGCAACCGCGACGGCACAAAATAGAAGTTAAAACGATTACTCTCAAACTCTGTCCGCCACTATTGATAAGAAGAATCTCCCGTTTGGCCCACGGTGGGATAGCCGTTGACCCTGAGGTTAAATGAGGACGCGCTTAAGAGCTCGGCGCTTCGCTGCGACGTAATCGGCCCTAAAGCGCAGCCCTGGAGCAGCTGTGGCTACGATGTAGCTCATCTCCACCAGGGTGTGAATGTGTGAAAGGCTGGTTGTGTTGTAAAGCGCCTTGGGGGGTTCCAGGACTCTAGAAGGCTCTATATCAAATACAGGCCATTTACCATTTACTCCAAGTACTTGTGCGGTGAAATGTGTAAAAGTTTTTCTATCCTGGTAAATAAAATAGATTTTTCATCATTTTTGTTGAAAACAAAATCCAAAAATGACAAAACTTGCATTAAAATGAGGAGTTTATCACCTCTTAGTCTGAATTCTTAACAAACTCTAACATCGTTTCTTTTAAAACCTGCATTTTTCTGCAGGAGGAAGCCTCTCCTTCATTTTTGTTGCTATAGAAACGTGTTTTTTTTTACTAAGTAAGCCCGTCCCAGCGTTTGTGTCCTGATCTCGCTCGCGTTCATCTTTAGTCCAGCAGACATTTATGTCATAGACAGGCTCGCGCCGTGCTCCAGTAGCTACACGTTTCCACTGCAGCGTCTGCATCAACGTCAGTCAGTGTCAGCCGAAAAAGGAAGTAGCAGCGTAACAGCAGTCCTTTGTGACATCTAGGGTTGTCACGGTAACCGGTGTAGCGGTAAACCCCGGTAAAAAGGTTGACAATAATAATAACCGTCTTGCTTTTTAAAAACTTTATTATCTCTGTGGGTTAGCGTGGCTGCGGTGTAGGCGTGGTGACCCTTACCAGCCACCGTATCATCTGCTGAAGTTGCCGGCGGCACATGCGCACTTTGTTGTTTACAACCAAAACTTTCTTGAAGCTAAAGCTGAAATAACGGCCAAAGGAGGAGACGGCAGCTCTCAGGACATTTATTATCCCTCAAAGAAGACAAAGTGGGAAGTACGGGCATGTTTTAGATATGTGAAGAATGCCGAGGGACAGCTGATAAAAGACGGCTATCCTGTTTGCAGCACGTGCAGAAAAAGTGTGTGTGAAAGGCAGCAACGCTTCAAATCTCATGACACATCTGCGTGACCATCACCCACAACTCTACAGTCAACGCAAGGCAAGCTAACGTTAGCGTTTTAGCTAAAATGCGTGATCTGAGGATTTGGGTTGAGGGAGAATGCAACGAGTCGCTTTATAAAGCAGCCGCAGCGCCGCTACCTGCATATAAACTGTGTCGCGGACACCGCCATGTTGAAATGACGCTATGCATTACGGGGCTCCCGGGGGCAGATAAGAGTTGGTCTCTCTCCGAGAATAATTATGAATTTAACAACGATTACTGCCTGATGACATTTTCCCACATCTGCAAAGCTCACTGGAAGGACACAAACCGAGGACAATATTTTCCTGATATAGGGTTTATTACTCAAGTAAGGGTAAAAAAGTATCTGATTAGAAGGCTACTCGAGTACTGAGTATCATCTGATCTAATATTTTTAAATGATGACATCAAACAGACAAAAAATAAGAAGTTATGGGCAAATATTGATATTTTAAAGACTAAAGGGGAAAAATGTAAACAAATAAACAACATAATTACAAAATAACACATTTTAGGCAAAATTTAGACACAAACTGAGGTCAATATTTTCCTGACATACAGGGTTTATTTAGATGTCTGAAAATGTAACACGTTTAAAAAAATACCGCGATAATACCGAAAACCGTGGTAATTTTGGTCACAATAACCGCGAGGTTAAACGTTCACACCGTGACAACCCTAGACAGGACCTGTTGAGTCTCAGTCCAAACCAGCTGATGGTGTTGTCCTCCACAGGACTGGACGTATCACGACATCTGGTCCTTCTTAAGGACGTTATACATCCCCTACTGCATCCTCTATGACAAAGGGTAAGTTTGTCCTTCATTTACTCACAGCAGGACGTCTCAGAAGACGCCTTGACGTTTTGTTTCCCTGCAGGTACACGTCACTGGGCAGTATGGATAACACCTGTCGGAATAAGGCCCTGCAGGTGGTGGATGAGAGGGGGGTGAAGCGGTACAAGCCAGCGTACCTTTTAGAGAATGAAGAAGAAGAACGAAACTCCCGCGCCTGATGACGGCTGTGCTCGTTATGTGCCCGGGTATCCAACTACCACCCACGTTCTCTCGGACTTTTACTTGTTTTGTGAGAAGCTTCATAATGTGTGACTGAGTTCTAATAAACGCTGCTGGCCGTGCTGCTAATAAAACGTCATTTGTATGGTTTTACTGTGTGGGCGTCGGACGAGCCCCCGCACCGTGAGAACAAACATCTCAGCTCTAAAGCCAATCGTCATCCGCGTACGTCACACGTCACGTGATCAGGAAGCAGAACATCCACGTGTTAGGAGATCGTTTTGGGCCGCTGCTGTAAAAAAGGTGAGGCGCGAACCGGAAAAGCTTCTGCCGATCACAATTCAACAACGGATTGTGAAAGAACGGATAACGCTCGAAACGCGCGGATTCTTCCTGATGTAAGAGGTGAGTCTCCGCTTTGTTTTGGTTGTTTTGGCGTCGACATCATGCTAGCGCGCAACATTCTGTGACTCTTAAAATAACGCTGACAGCGAATGAGTTAATTATTGGTAACTTTTAAAAAAAACCCTCGGGTTTCTGCTGTGTGGTGGAGCTGCTAATGCTAACGGTTAGCTTCTACTATATGTTCTCTGCTGTTTCCTGGACGCTAAACCAACAACAGCCTTCCCCGTCGTGAGCCCAGATGGGTGAGTCCATGAATGTTAGTGACAGTGTGACGTAGATCTGTCAGGATTTTCTAATCCTAGAGTTTCACCTTCCCTTTAAGAATCCCATTCACCTGCCGGATAAACAGAACTTCTCCTGGCTTCATTCTGTTTATTGTCTCGTTTCTAAACCAAATCTTCCACTCAGACACAGATTCTGTTGCATTTAATTCATGGATGATGTGAACAAGGATTTCAGGGAGCAGCTGAAGGTCACGGCCTCCAGGTTAACACCGTGCAGTTCTCCTCACGGACCTCACGGGCACGTTCTTCTCCCCTCTTTTTTCCGTGATTACAATAAACGACCTTCTCTGTTTCCAGACATGATTGAATCCCAGCTCATCGATCCGTCCTCCTCCCGGCTGGAGGTTAGTCAGCGCGGCGCAGCGGAGATCGATACCGGCAGATGTAATAAAGCGGGTCGCTCACGAGGCCACAGGGGCGGCACGTGCTGTTACACCCCCCCCTTCTGCCTTAGCTTCATGGGTTCACTAGATGTATTACTAATAACAGTAATATCTGTGTGTGTGTGTGTGTTTCACACTGTCAGAGGACTCAAAGCGCTTTACACCACAGTGCATCATTGATCCATTCACATGCTGATGGGGATAAACCATCGACATATAAATATTGGACAATGGGTTTCCATAGATCCAATAACACGTTTTTGAAGATAAATGGGAGGTGGCCACCTCCGCCATTTTGACCGTGTCACAGGTTCCGTCAAGCCCAGACAATTCCTTAAAAGGGAAGAGAGGTGGAGCTGAGGGTGGGGCTGTAAGGCTGGGATCAACTGACGACACCCGGTTGAACCAGCTACAAGCTAACCTGAAGCTAACCCAAAGCTAATGCGGAGGTGGGAGCTAAGTTAACAGAGGTAGCAACCTAGCTACAACCGGAGTTAACTGTTCACAACACCAGAGTTTCTGAGTCAGAGATACGCCGGGCTGACCGCTGGGTAAAACCGGGTGGAAAACATTGGTCTCCCGAGAGCTCCACAAGCCGATAGTGGGAACCCAGCTCCACCAACATGTTATATTTCAACCCATTTTCTAAAGTGCAGCATTATGTTAAATGCACTGGGTTTTACCCTATTACATTTAAATTTCATGGTTAAACAGTACATGTTAAAATCTAAGCTCAGCTCAGCAGTGACCTAAAATACATAAATATCATTTTACTTACCGAAAAAAATGAAGTGGAGACTCCTTGGATGCTCTATTAGTGCAATTAATGCCACAGCAAGTCATTTTGTCCAACAATTGCACAAATAATATCCAAACAAGAATACACAAACACAGAGACTCAAAATCCCAGAACAGTTTCCAAGCCAGACCGAGGCTCTACTGAGGCCTTTCCACGGAGCTAGCTCTGTGGTCACGTGGGTCTGATGCTCATTAATTATACAGAATTTTAGGCTTTTAATACACTTAAACAGAAGAGTGAGAAAAACATTCACCCCCCTCAGAGTTGTCATGAGTGTAAACTAGATCATTTAAACCAAAAACATGTTTTGGTACCAGGCTGTAAACATGTTTATTTCTGCTGTGAAATTGGTATTTTTAACATGGGAGTCAATGAGGATTTGCTCGCTTCTGACACCCGCCCCTAGTGGATGAGGGTGGAACTGCAATTTTTGGTATTTCCGGGTTGGGCTCAATTTTTGAGCCGCATTGTGGGGGCTTGGGATGAACTCATTGTAGCCACAGAGGCCACCGGACCCTCTGACCATCACCAGCAGGTGGGGAGGGTTGAGTGTCTTGCCCAAGGACACAACAGCAGAATTCTTGACCCTACAGCCCTCCGTTTACTGGACAACCTGCTCCACCTCCTGAGCCACCTATGGAGCGAGGCTAGACCGACATGCAGAGCAGAATCATTTAGCTTCAACTGTTTGTCCTGTACTGTCATGACTCCCAGCAGAGAGGGATGTTAACTCATAAAAACATCGTTGGATCTTCATTTGAGACGGTTTACTGCAACGATTCAACAGGGGAGTGGTTGCACACAGGGCGTGTGTGTGTGTGTGTGTGTCTGCTCTGTCTTCTCGATCCCCAGTGAGTCGTGGAGGATGGCTGCTTATACTGAGCCAGGATCCTCTGGAGGTTTCTTCCTGTTAAAAGGGAGTTTTCCTCTCCACTGTCGCTATATGCCTGCTTAGTATGAGGGTTGCTGTAAAGTCACTGACACTAGACAGTGACTCGATGCGACCTGCTGGGTTCCTTATATAGGAAACATTTTACTGAGTGGCTTCATGAACTGACCTGTAGTGCGATGTTTACTGTGTGAAGGTCCTTGAGGCGACTCTGGTCGTGATTTGGCGCTTTATAAATAAACTATAATTGCATGTTAAACTCAGGAACCACAAATACGACATATCCACATTGGTGGAGACACTCTTCAGTTACACATCCTTCATCGTTAGAGGAAAGGAAGCCGTTTACACGCTGGTGGGGATGAGCTACCATCAGTGTTGGGCCAGTTACTTTAAAACTTACTTGTTACCCTATTTTAAAGTAATTCATTATATTACAATATTACTGATTTGAAAATGTAGGGCATTACACTACTTTTGCATTACTTTAAGTTATTTTCACCAATACAACTTCAATATGAATTGGGTCATGTGACGCTCAGTGAGCTCATGACACATCCAGTGAAAGGTGATGTGGTGTCTGAGCTAGGATTGCTGTTAAAAAGTCAGATATAATAACGGTGCTTTAAAATGATTGTTTATTAAATAAAAGCAACAACAATCTGTACTCTCAGCACGCTGCCATCTTACAGGGCCATCTGAGCAGGGAGTGAGGTGGTGGGGGCTCCAAGCCTATATTTGCCCTGGTCCCCAAATGCCTTGATACGGCCCTGGATGTGGGACTGACTTCTGGGGTGATCTGATTCTATCACATGTATAAATATTAAATACTTATATATTTTTGCTTTTCACTGGTAAAAATGTGTATTGGGGATAAATCTGCCTACTTTTTTCTTTTCAAGCACTTTGTTTTGTTTTCTTGATTTTATTTGAATAATTTCCGGCCCTTTCTCTCTCTAACCTTCCTGCATGCTTCATGTTTTCTCCGTATTCCAGAAAAACGGTAAACTAGATTTCCTACTTTCTAACTAATCAGCCAAAGGGATCTACCGAACACAAAAATAAAAAAAAAAGCTTCATATGCGCTGCGCTCCAGCAGCAATGAGTTGAAATCACCGGGGCACAGATGATGAACTCAGCTGAAAAGTACATGAAGTACCAGAGAATATGAGCTGATATAAACGATCGCACACGAATTATTTTGTTTTGGTGGAGCGATTTTGTGAATATAACAGCGGCCGCGCGCAGGACACAGCTGGAGTATTTGAGCCGTTACCGCTGCGTCCTCTCTGCTCATAGAATGCCCGCAAAGCTGAGTCCATAAATGACGTCATATATGTGGATACTGGATCTTTTTTCAGGCTTCCCGCAATTTGAATTTTTAGGAAACCCACATCTTGATTCTGGGGTTAAAATGCATTGTAATTACTGCGTTACTGACAACTGTACCGAGTACATATTACCATTTTCTTTCCCTGTAATGCCTTACATTACCACATTACAGCAAAAAGCAATGCATTACAGTAATTAATTACTTTTGTACCTCGTTACTCCCAACACTGGCTGCCATGTAGCCACAGCTGCCCTGGGGGCGCCCTGACAGCGGCGAGGCTGCCGATCACAGACGCCACCGGTCCCCTCCGACCACCACCAGCAGAGGTGCGTCATGGAAGAATCACATCCTGTTGTCACATTTAGGAAGCAGAGTCCATTTTTCTAAACAAAAATGACTTTCTCACCGCCGATCCGTGAGTTTCATGGCTGTTGGCAGCTACGGATCAGCACCAGGACATTCCAAATGAGCAAAGATGAGTCACACACAGTCAGCTGATGAGTAGATAAATATTTTTCACTGTAATATTGAGTTGTTGGTCATTAAAAAAGGAGCTTGAGATATTTTTAGAGCTGATTATTTGTTTCTAACTCACTGTTAGCTCAACGTTAGCCTCTAGCCTTCTTTACCCGATAGTGGAGTCAAACAAAAAGAGTGCTCCTGCACTGGCTTGGGATCTTTCTGTGTCCAGGCTGCCATCTGTGCAAATTAGACCATCTTGGGATTATTTCACTGTAACGTTTTTACTTATTGCACCTTTAAATGAAATTACGCAGCAGCACTGGGATGCCCTGATGCCTGACCTTAAGTCGGCCGATGCCGATGTGTTAAAAATGATAAATGTCGGCCAACGTGCTGACTGACCAATAAATGGGTCTGACCCTAGGTTTCTGTGTACAAAAGGATGAAACACACTTAGCTAGTGTTTTAGCTGTGACCTGAGAAATACACCCATCACCTCCTTTTTTATATCTTTATTTTTTCCTCTTGCGTCTTTCTAAATCTACATAATTCCCAATTAGACATCCTTAAAAGTCTGAGACTAA